AGCTGATGCTCATGATGCTGGCCTTTGGCTGGTGCCCGCGGCTGCGGAACCAAGGAATACCAGCCACTGATGCTGGTGATGCTGGCTCTTCCCCGCTGAACTTTGGCGGCATGCCCGCACAGTTCACAGCTGATGCTCATGATGCCGGTCTTTGGCTCGTGCCCACGATGCTAGTGACAATGGATGCTCGTGATGCTGGCTCCTCGCCGTGGAATTTCTGCGGCATGCGAGCACAGCCCACAACTGACGCTCATAATGCTGGCATTTCGCATTGCCCACGGCTGATGCTGGTGATGAGCCATTCGGGAACTTTGGCGGCAAGCGGCACAGCCAGCATATGATGCTCATGATGCTGGCCTTTTGTCGGTGCCACGAATGCGGGGAACGAAGCCTTCGCGGGTCCCATGGCTGATGCTAGTGATGCTGGCCATTCGTTGTGTGGAGCACGAGCGATACCAGCAACTGATGCTCGTGATGCTGGCTCGTCGTCACTACACCTGTCTTGCCATGCAGGCGAAGATGACAAGTGATGCCCATGATGCTGGCCATCGGGCGGCCGAGCCCGCAAATGATAATCATGGGTGATGGCCCTCTAGGGGCCCCTCTGGCAGGTGGGGCCCGTGCTAATGCTGGCGATGTGGGGTTGGCCTTTCCCTGCTTGGTCCTTTCGACGAGAATATTCTGAGGAAGCCAGCAAAGTACTGTAGCAGGGAACCGCAGAGGGGCCGCTTTTGCTGGACATAGCTTATCCTGAAGATGTCCCGTGAAGGCGCTGCTTGGCCAGGTGCCAGAGTCAAACATCCTTACGGGGGCCCCACTTTAGTAGAACAACCCCTAATCATTCATCGAAAACCAGGGCGCCTAGTGAATACGGTTAAATACCTTAGTTGGGGGGCTGCAAGTATACACAACTCTGGTTGCCTTGCGTCCGGCGATCTCCTAAGTACACCCTCAACAACCCTTTAACCGCTTCTTTGAAGCCACGAACCCCCTGCCACAACAGAGACTAAGTTCAAAACAGTAGCCCGAAAGTATCTAAAACCACTCCGAAACCCCAAACTCCTAATCCCTTAACCCTAAACTCCTGTACCCCTGAACCGGCGCTGGAAGGAAGCCGAAAGGCAGCTCCGAAAAGCAGAGAAGGCCGCCAAGAAGGAAGAGCAGAGGAGGCGCGACCTTGCTTTCGGGTTTAGGGCTGAGGGTTCCCCTTCAACGAGGCTAGTTTTTTCCATTAATTTATCAGGGTTTAGAAGGTCTAGGTAGGCTTTCGGGTCGGTATTTTTTCGAATCTAGCTTCTAGAAGCTGCCAGGACTCGGCGTCCTGAATGCCCTGATCCCTTCTAGAACCCTCAATGTCCTAAACCCCCCATCATGATTCCTCCGCCTCTGAAGCCCTATAACCCCAAAGTTGGAAGCCTTAAAAAAACTTGCAATACCCTAAACTTTCCTAAACCCCCTAAAGAGCCTTCGTAGTAGATGTTATAGCAACCCAGAAGTTGAGAAACCCTAGACCCTTTTAAACCCCCATAAAACGCTGAACCCCTTCAGGCGGAAGGAGGAAGATGAGAGGGAGAAGCAGAAGGCCCGAGATGAACTCGGTAAGGAAGAAGACAGGCTTTAGGGTCTTAGGGCTCAATATAGAGGCTTAAATCACTACCAATGCCATGTTTGTTTTTTTTTGTTGGGGGGGGGGGTCCCTATTTTTTGTTTAGTTTAGGGTTCCGGGGGGGCGGGTTTCAGAGTTTGGTTTAGCGGTTGGGAGGTTGGGATCGGGGTTTGCGGCTCGGCGTGGAAATCAAGCGCAAGTTCCAGAATATCGGGGCCTAAAAAATTACCTATACTAATTTGGTGGCTCCTTGTTATAATCACCACGGAGGGACTCCAGAACTCCTGCAAGAAGTCACATACCTTAAGTTCTACAGGGATCCTCAATATGACTTAGAGTATAGTCTTTATGAAACCTCAGAAAGCCCTGGAGAACCCCTTTTTTCAATTGCTGAGAGGTCTGGGAGGACCATCCTGCTCGTATGGCGCAGAAGCCGGTCTCCCTAGTGCAGGGTTTAGGGCTCCTTTACCGAGATCTATCAGGGTTCCGTTAATCTCAGTCGGATGTGTAAGAGTTCCATAACGGATCTCAAAGGGTTTGGGGTTAGGGTTCAGGGTTTAGAGTTCCGTTCGGCATCAAGGGACCCAGGGAACAGAGGAATCACAGAAACACATAGCGAAGTGACAGAGAAATCCTAGTCTGAGTCTTCAGCCACCATGCATTCGCTTCTACGGTGTAGGATTTGCCCTATACACTCCTAAAGCCTAAACCTTGTAGCGCGTAAGGGTCAAAACCTCCGGCGGCGAGCGCCTTCTGCTGCGATTTCAACACCCTGAAATCCCAAGACCTCCTGAACCCCCAAAGCCCGAAGCCAAACCCCAAACCCGGCCCAAAAATCCAAAAAATGTATTGGAACATGAAGAGATACCTTGGAGAGCTCCCTTCGGACCTTCAACGACATCTTGGAGAGCCCTTCATAGGGAAAGCGGTTTTCATAGAATCCGGAAACAAGCCGCTGATAGACCCCTTGCGTTTACAGTAGCCCTGCAAAGGGCCGTCATAGACTCCAGAAGAGCACCCGTATAGAAGTTAAAGGGTCTGCGGCCCGCAAGTCCCGAAGACTCTTGAACTCGTCTGTCTGGCGCTTAGTAGGGAATGGGCGAATGGATCCCTATGATAGTCCCTTGAGGTCCCTATAGTAGTCCCTATAACCCATTCCCCATTCCCTACTAAGCACCAGACAGTCGTTCCAGGCTGAAGAGGAGAACCGCAAGGTCGAAGATAGGGGCCTCGATAACAGGAACAGTGTCGTATGCTAGAAGTAATTTGGCAGCCTTCACAGTCAGAATAGGGTTTGGTGTTATATTGTACTATAACTATCATCGGGAGTCCCAAAATAGTGGTAAGCATTTAGGCCCTAGGTCATAGTTCAAGAGGCACAAACAGTCCGCGTTATTCTAATGATTACGGCCTTTCTGTTAGGGTTTAGGGTTTTAGGGCTTGGGACAAAGTGTGGGGTTCGGGTCTTGGGAGTTTGGGTCTCCTGCTTTGACGGTGTCGGGTTTCAGCATTGCAAGAGATGCACAGGTTCATTGCACAAGCAAGCCTAAACCGACCAACATCAGAGCTCTAGTAAAGGTTTTGAGGTTCTGGGCTAGATAGGTCTTTAGGGGTCAAGGTTTTAAGGTTCAAAGCTCCGATCGTGCCGCTCGGCGCGAAGCACGAAGCACCATGCCCTGCGCCGAGGCACTCCAGATCAAGGTCCAAACTATGATCCAGACTTAGGGGTTTGGCGTTCAGGGTTTTAGGACGAAGGGTCTGGGTTCATGGGTTTATTGTAGGACGAAGGGTCTGGGTTCATGGGTTTATTGTCAAGCAGTTGTTGCGGGTATAGGGTTGGGGACTTTCAGGATTTAGGGGTTCCCGTTTTCAGCAAATTCCATTGTTGGTTGACATGCTGCACTTGGCTGTAGTTATTCCCTTCGAGGTAAGAGCCAACACTTTAATTGATTGAAAACAGACAGGATTCGTGTTCAGAGTTTCATTGAATTTGAGCCAACATATTAGCAAAAAGAAAACAAAAAGCCTTGTTGAGAACTGTGGGTTCCGAATTCGAGGCACTGGAAACCAAGCTTGCCTTGAACTCTGGACACTAAACCTTCAATATTCTAAGAAGAACACAAAAGTGGCCGCCCGGGGTGGCAGATTTTCAACATGCATGGAATAAGCGGCGCTTTTACGACATGTGGCGTACTGGTCGTTCTCTTAGTGGTTTTTGCATGGGGCCAAAAAAGCGTAGATATGATGTTCCCGTCGTGTCTAGACCATCAGCACAACAATGGACGGATTTTTTGGCGCAATCTGGGCCTGATGGCGGGTGCTTGGGGTCCGCTGTACAATGGCACACAAGCAACGAGATGCTCGAAAGGTGTTCGCCCACCCTGTTGGACACACAACTCGCCAAGATCGATGCACAACAACTGGAAACACGCATTTGCAGAGCTAGTTTGCGTAAGTCTGTTCCTCATTGGAGTTGTCCGGTTGAGGTTTGGCGTATGCTCTTCAAAGTTAAGAGATACACATCACGACGCGGGCTGGGATTTAAACCAGCAGAAACCATGTGTCACATGTTGCGGAGGCGTTTATTCCAACTTTGTTTATGCATACGAATCCGTGCTCGCACGCCGCGTTTGTGGAACAGAGGGCTGGCTGCTCAAATCGACAAATCGAATGGTAAAGACGGCTGCGCTGGCAAACGCTTGGTCAATCAGCTCGATCCAATGGGATCTCAATTTTACAAACACATATGGGCACGTACTACCCCTACAAGCGACAGGCACTACGCTTCTGGGTACCACTCGGGAAAGTCTCGTATTTCGTCAATCATGCAAAGACACATCTTGTCCAGTCGGTTGGATGCTGCTCATATCCGTCATGTCGAATCTTTCTTTGACGTGTCTAACGCCTTCCCCAGTCCTTGTCACAACGCACTGGATACAGCAGTGCGCGCAGTTGCTAAACGTGCTGATGTTGAGATTCTCCTGCAACGTCACCGTGAAGCAGTTACTCATATTGTGGCCTCTGACAAAGCTGTTGATATTCGTTCTGGCTCGGGTGCTATGCAAGGGGATGGTCCTGCAGGTCCGCTTTTTCTTGAAGTGTACCATCCGCGGATGGATGAGTGGTTGGCGGACGTCCAGCTCCTTCCACAACAACGGCTATGCTGTGCCCAAGACCCTGTATCCCAGTTATATGTTGATTGCAGTCTCACGGCTTATGCGGACGATTTGGGAAAGACTACTATTGTCACAAACATGCAAGATGCCATCGACAAGATTCAATCCATCAACAATTCACTGGATACCACGTTGGCATCTATTGGCATGGCTCAAAACGCAGGAAAACAGGAAAAGTGCATGCGACTGGACGTCATTCAAGGTCATTTCTTCGCGATATGTATGCAAGAGGCGTTGGCATCGGAAGGACTGTTGCTCTTGCAAAATATTTGGGCGGGCGTCGGTCATACAACAACCTTTTTCATTGCGAAGTTCAAGTTCGGATTCGAGCTGCTTTTTCAGGATTTTCGTCCATGGGTTCCTTTTGGAGTCGGGCGAGGAGTTCGCGGAAAGCGGTGCGCCTTTTGTTTCGTGGTATGGTACAGGAAGCTCTTTTGTCTGGGCTTGAAGCCACCGTGTTACATCCAGCAGATATCCGAAAACTTGACAAGGCACTTTTACATTTGGGGCGGAAGGTTCTGCAAGGTGCTGCGTGCGAGAAACAGACGGTGGCGGAGCAAGACGGTTCAAATTCTATCAAGTACCATGCAAAACCTAACGAGTTTGTTTGGAAACAGTTGCAGATGGCGCCTTGTGACATTGAACTCCGGATTAAGCGTCTTACGTTCTGGCAACAAGTTGCTCGTGCACCTGATCTGCAGGTATCTCTTCTGGCTACCATGTTCGGTCAGTTCGGATTTGGCAACCCCATGCTTTGTCTTGACAGTGGTAAGCCATCTGGCACTGCACATGCTTGGATCTTGCAGTTATGCGAAGACATTGAGGCTTTGCGCGTATCGGATGTCGTCGCTCATATTCCTGAACGTATGGATGGCAAACCGCTTTTGCTCTTCATGGCACCATTACGGGAGGAGTTTGTTCAAGTGGATTGCTCGATACTTCGCAAGGTGTTTCTGTCGGTGGCAATTCCCCCACCTGGGTATGTTGAAGCTCCTCCTCCTAATCCGGTGCAACCACCCGCCGACATTGATGAACATGAACATATTTGTATGGATACTTTGCCTGATGGTAGCGTATGTCGTGCTAGCTTCTCCTCTTTTCGCGCACTACAGGTTCACAGACGTGGAGCAAAGGATCACAAATTCGTGGCCCCAGAATATCACCTCGCTATCACTAATCAGTGTCCATGGTGCCATGTGGTTTACAATTCTATTCAGCAGACGAGGAGTCACATTAAAAATTCCCTCCATCGGCGGCGATGCCAGGGCAAAGGGAGTATTGTTCCTGTACCCGTACGGCCTGTGGGTTCGTTGGTTTGCAGTAAGTGTAACTATAAATGTTCATCCACTTCGAGCCTTCAATAACATTTGTGTGCACATTACGGGGGACCTGATTTCACGGCAGATTGGACGTGAAGCCTTTTCTGCTTGCGAGCTCTTTGTATACCCGTGCTGCGTAGTGCAATCCCCAGCCATGAATTGGATGGCTAATGATGGTCAGGTGCCCAAACAGCGAAGGACAGATGATGCTCATGATGGACATGATCACGACCTCCTTGTGGCTTTGGCGAAGTTGAGTTTGCGCACCGCTGATGAAGTCAAGGAGCTTCAGGCGGCGACTTTCCGTACGATACTAGTGCCAGCAGACTGCGACTTTGTAACAGCTGCAAAGAATGCCACCACTGCATTT